GTGCATCATGCCATTTAGTTGCCATGGACCAATGATCTATAACGTTTGTTGTAAGATTGTTTTTCAAAAGCAAGTGTGTTGTGAAGACAACAGATATTTGGGCAACATTTCTGAATTGTAAGAGAGCATACAGTACCATCTTATACCATCATTTTAAGTTGGGTGCAATGATTTACAGAAATGATTTTGTAAAGAGCAATAAACCCAGTGGTAAACAACAAACAATTTTTAAATCCAGAAAAATGTGAGTAATGCAGTTCTGCTTAGCCCAAAGTGTTCCTCTCACTGTCATGCAATAGCATGTAACATTTTTTACATAATAGTGAGCCAAATACTGTATCAAGACCTGAACTTCCATATGTACAAAATTCAACTTGTTTGGCAGTTAAACAATGTTTTATATGAAGATTTCTGTCTTCTGGGTTGTTGTGCTGTGTAGTCTGGTCGATGTTAACCAACGTCTCAGAGGTCATACTGCCTCCGTCATCAGGTTGATGATATTTACCCTGATGACGGAGGTATGACCTCTGAAACATTGGTTAACATCGACCAGACTACACAGCACAACAACCCAGAAGACAGAAATCTTCATACTCACCGCTGTGAAAACCTCAAATCTTATAAATATATAATCCATTTGCCAGGCTACGTAACAAGCAAAATACAAGATATTGGTCACATCAAAACTCATGAAAGGCTATTGCACATTGCAAAAGTTGCTGTTTGTTATTGGAAAAAGCACATGTGTTGTCAAGCCTTTTTTGACAATAATGGCCATGTGATGACCGTTTTGCAGAATAATCTTAAAAAATGGTATCACAGCAAATTGCATACCTTTTATGGAAGTGACATAATACTGCATTTAAATACATTTCTTATCTGAATTGATTATTTAATCACTGAAAATCATCACTAAACTATGGCACATGCTATATATTGCAGATTAAAAGCAAAAGGTTCTGGGGATCTGTAAGAAAACAGATAAGGAAATGACACAAGAAATAAATAAAATCAATTCAGTTTCAGAGAAGAAATCTATGATATTCAGTAACGTAGGCTGTTACTAAGAAGGCATATCTTTGCAGGCATGGGTCCAGTCAAATCGATGGGAGAAGCACGCAGATATGGTAATCCAGTATACTCAATGCCTCAGAAGAAACTTACTTAAAGGAGCAAGCACAAATAAATATAGACTTAGTAGCAACATCTCAATCCATGTTGATGTGTGGTGCTCATTAAATGGTCGTTTCCAGCAGCGCATGTATGATCCCAGAGTTGATTTATTGACTGCTGAGTGGTCACCAATTAAGGAAGTGTCATGGGTGATGCCATTGCTGACTGAATTTAGCTCTTGGCGAGAAAAGATTACAACACTAGAGAAGGAAGTTTATTCGTGGTCGGAGTACAGTGATGTGATATTTGTAGCTGACTTTCCAGGTGAGTGAATTTTACTGACTGAATATTAATACGTTAACTTCGTGTTTCGTGACAGGGATGTGGTCCTTGAAAGACATTTGTTAGGTAAAATTTTTTTATAAGAATTATTTCCTTGTGAACTTAAAAAAGGCAGATAAATACATATAGTGTGTGTTTATTACAATGAGTAGTACTTTAAAATTCTAGCTATTAGTATTCATTTTCTCCATGTTTCAGATCTGACACTTGAAAACTACATAAGTGAAGATCTTACTAATATAACGCTGACAGTTTTAGAAGGTGATGTAGTTGTTGAAATAGATAATTACACTGTTAAACCAAGAAGAAAGAAAAGACTAAGTATATCAAGGCATAGAATTACAAAGGATGAATCTGTTGGTATTCCAGCCAAAGTATTTCACAGGGTTCACACAGTATCTAAAACTCCAGCTTGTTACATGTATTCCTACGTCAATCACACAAAACAACTGCAAGAGGAAAATGACACTGAAAATCCCCAGACCACGGAAGTTGGTAAGAAGAATAATAGACTGTTGAACAAGTTAGTGATTCGATTGAAAAACATGGCAAGAGCAATTGGACTAGTCGTCAACGCAATTCTCAATATACTGTATTCTGTCCCAATGATAAAGAGAGTTCGAATAGTACAATGATGTATTTATTTAATTTAATGAAGTTTGTAAAACAGTTTATGAAGATTTGAAGCAAAAGCTGCTTTAGAAAGAACACTAAGATAAAATACATAAATTTAATAGATAAAAGGCAGATGAGAATTTAAAATCTTGTGTTGTTCTGCTACCATTATTACACAGGACATTTGAGTTGTAGTGATGCTGTCTTCATGATGTTTGTGTTATCGTTTGCATTCATTCGTCAAATGTATGTGATAAGCAGGACGGTTGTTTGAACGTTCAGCTTTAAGATTTTTAAGCTATTTGTTGATGTTAACTTGAAATACAGATGTTTAGATTTTTTGAAGAGTTGTACAAAGGAATACATCAATATTGACCAGAAATTACAACATTTTCCCTTATGAGTTAAACTCAACAAGGGCAAGGGGTCAGGTCTCGGAGGTACTGGCAGAAGGATGGTACCAAACATCATCAACATTATTTGCCCATGTTCTATCTCCCACACGTCTTAATCAAATGGATAAAATTTGGAAAGGAGGAAACAATAAAAGTTGACTATTAAATAATGAGAAGAAAATGGTCCATAGGAATTCATAGTTATCTTTTTATTTCATTAATCTTAGAAGTAAGGAAGTAAGGAATGCTTCAAGATTTTTAAAGCTACTTGCATTTAAAAAAATCCTGGAAAAATATGAATAACTGTATTTTCATTTGAAATATGAGTTGTTAAAATTTATTATACAATGAACTTGGTATTAAGAAAAATGTATTACTTGCATATCTATATAATAAATTAAGCTTTTCTGCAACATTGAGCAATCAGAGATAAAAAATGCAAAGAACAGGTATGGATAAACAGTATATAATTTGAGACTGAGTGTTGAGAAACTACTGTATATTTTTTGTCAGTATCCTATGAATGTGAAATTTGAGTTCTCACATTAAGTAAAGAACACTTTGAGGGTGTTCAATAACAGGGTGCTGCTGAAGAAATATTACATACAAGAGAGGAAGTAAAAGGAGGCTAAATAAAAGTGTAGAATGAGGGATTTCATAATTTGCACTCTTCACTAAATATTAGGTTGATCAAATCAAGGGTGATAAGTTGGGCAGATAATGTGGTGTGCACAGAAGAGATGAGAAATGCATACAGAATATTTGTTTGAAAGCCTGAATGGAAGAGACCACTTGGTAAACCTAGGCATACATGAGGATAGAATTAAAATTGACTTAAAGACGTAGGGTACAACAGAATGAACACAATTCACAAGGTTAAAGATAGGGACCAGTGACAGACTCTTGCGAACATGGTAATGAAAAATACAGTTCCATAAAAAGCGGGAAATCTATGAGTAGCTGTATGGCTAATAGGTTCTCAAAGAACCTGTTCTATGAAGTTTGAGGAAAGTGAAGCTGCTCGTGGAGAAATGAGGCATAGCTCCTATTCATTCTTGACCTTGGCACTAGATGGGGGTGAATGGTCATGCCTTGACCATGCTTTACCTAAAGGGAGTGGGCCCCAGAGCCAAGCTGGATGCAGAGACCAGAAGAAAAATCCTTTACCCCTGCCAGAGATTTAACTCTGGCTGTCCAGTCTATAGTCAATTATTTTACTGAATTATCCAAGCTCCTATGAAGTTGAATCATGTCATAAATTGAGTGCCAATGTATACACTAATCTTTGACCAAGCCTTATTTACTATCACTATACCATGGACTGCAAACTGTTCATATTTAACTGTAACATTTTATAACATGAATGTATCATAGTAAACTGAATGTAGTATATGAAGCGGTGATGGGTTTTCTAGTCTATGTGATTTTCCTCTACTGTCATATCTCCTTCCTTGTAATTACCTTTGTGCCCATACAGATACACCAACACACATGGACTTTGTTATTATTCATAGCTTCCATCCTTGGAAGCTCTCTCTAGGGGTATATACATGTTGTATGATTATTATATTGGACACAATCCATAGTCTGAGGAAGTTGGTTGTCCTCTTATCTTCAGATCTCGAGATATTTAATTTCAAAATTAGCGGCAATCAAATACGAGACCTGTGGAGTACTGCTGGGCTAGCATGTAACCCTTAAACCTAGCCCAGTTAGCATATCTGTCTAGTAATCAAAAGGTCCCAGGTTCAATACCAACTTATTTTCATCTGATGTCCCCTCATACAGTACAGCTTTTAATTATTTTATTTTTATTCTTTACCAACAATATTTATTCACATTTTTCATCATTTAGACACATATTTCATTTTCATTGGGCCACCAATAATCAGTGTCTCAAATTAATAATCCTAAAACATTTGGTTCCCTTTCATTAAGCTTACTCATTATACACACAGTTTCATAACCTCAATTTAATGTTTGTTTTAAATCTCTTTATATAGAAAATTTAAAACATTTAAAATTGTTTTTAAAATGTATGCTTACCACAGTTTTTGTGCAAATTTCACTATGTACAGGTACATGACATGGATGTGACTTCTATTCACCTCACAAATTTTCTTTAATCTCTCTCATCACTTATGTTTGTTATTTCAAGTGCAACATCGCAATCCAGCAAAGCCACTAAGAATATCAAACACAGATGAAATGAAGGAACATCAATACACAACATATTTGCTACATGATCTTCAAGGAAGTTGGCAACACCACCATTCCAAAGGGAAGCAACAAACTCTGTAACTGAACAGACTCAATTATCAAATATCATAGAAAACTGTATAATGCAGTTAGATTTCAAAAGTATTTTTAAACATTTTAACTTCTTAAAATATGCAGTTTGAATAAAATTGACCATCAAATTAAGGTTGTGAAAAGAGTGACATCAATGAAAAAGAAAGTAATGTTTTTGGATTAATAATTTCAAACACTGATGTTGGTCCAGTGAGACTGAAATGCATGTCAACCTACATGAATGGTAAATGTGAATAAAAACTGAAAGAATACAAATAAAATGAGGTTTCCATTATGAGTGAAGTCTGCCTGGGAAAAAATAAATTAATCAGTATGACAACGCTGAACACTGTGACTACAGTCTACAGATTTATTTATTTATCAGGAAAATGGTTCAAATGTCAACCATCTGGTTTCTTGTGAATTCTCCTCAGTCCCACAAGGCAAATGCTGGGATACCTTATATTAAGATACAACCACTGTCTTCTAAAACTGACAATAGAAAATGTCAAACACAATAATGGTATAATAATAAATTGAGTACCGTCACAGACCTTTCAGCTTGGAGTAAACTGCATCTCACATTCTCTGTGCTTTCCTTAACAAATCAGCTATGGAGACAATTTCTTGGTAAGATGAGCAGATACTATGGCTGCATACACCACAAGACTAGAATTATTAGCTCATATAAGTTTGAATTTAGAGCATACAGCAAACTACCCTGTGATCCATTATGGGATGCTTTCTTGTATATACCTCATCTGTGCACCTGAAAGCATTCGGAAAATTTATCCATGTACATTCAACTATACTCTCTGCCAAAATATTGGAAATAGCTTTTAGAATGACGACTGCTGATAACAGGAATTTTTATTAAAATGGAACCTGAATTTATATTTTACAGATTATCAAATATTATGTGATCAGGCAAAGTTTTAGGCATTAAAAACAAAAAATTACAGCACTTGCCTGTATTATGAAGAGGTTGTTAATTCTGGTGATCTTGCCTTACACATGATGCCACTATTATAAAGATTCTAAGAATGAGCTTGTGCATTCTGGGCAGAAAGCATATAGCAAAGAAACTGTCATTTGAAAGCACACATTAAAGCAGCATTGTCCAACTTATGTTCAATGAAACACGATATGATACGGCATTCATCACGGTAACCCTAGATTTGCGTCGTTTCAGAATAACGCCGATTTTGAAACCAGCTAGTCAAAAAGTGAAAAATATATATTTTGATATTATTTTACGTTATACAATGTATCTCGTACTGATTCTTATACTATATTCTAATTCTTACATCGCTGATTTTTAATAAAAATTTTAATTACAGTCATCTCTGTAAATACGTATGTTTCATTCACGGGAATTTTCCTCAATGAGATCGATGAATGGAAAAAAGTTATTAAATGCAAACTTTTGCATATGCGAGTTTGCTCTTATGCAAATTCATTCCTGGCACTTTAAACTTTCAAAGGACTAATTTAATCTCAGTGGAGGTACCGGGATTATTTTTACTACGCAATTTTCTATAGGTCTGCAGAGATGACTGTACACATCAATCACATGAAAGAATCACAGTCAGTCGCGGGAACCAACGAATTGCCGATTGTAAGTGTATAAGATATATTTTTTTTAAATTCCCTTTATTTTATTTACGTTATTTCAGAGCTTTAAATGTAATGCCATTATTTTACTCGTCAATGTTTGGGTGCTGGGAACGCATATCATTGACTTCCCATTGATTTACATTATAAAAAAGTTTCAATTTACGCCGGTTCGTCCAGGAACGCATCCCGGGCGTAAATTGAGGGCTACCTGTATTTGTAACCTAAGTCAAATTTTAACATGGTAGTAAAGTAATGTAAAGGATATTCTGCTGTCAGCCAATAAACTGGAGGCTAGGAGCCAGATCCTGCTGTGGCTCATAGGGTCAATGTGGCTACTGTCATCTTCATTTACCATACACCAAATAAAGGCAATATGCCTCTTCCAAGGTGCAGTTCAATCCCAAAAACTCATTACTGCACTCATGTCTTTACAAACCTAAAAAGAAGCTGTGGCTTAGAAAATATTTTAATAATTTGACTGTCATAATTATTTGTTTAGAAAGTTTGCAAACCTTCATTTATTCATTTACATCAGGCATCACAATAAATATACAATAGAAGTGGCACACGCAACTTTCTCCTTTTCAACATGTTTTAACCACAGTTTCTGCTGTGTTGCCAACAGTTGTTGCATGCTTTTATGAAAGGATTATGAAGGTAATATATACTCATAGTATTTACAAAGATTATACCTTAAGGCTCTCAAATTTTCATTCATGAACAAAATAAGTTTGTAAGTACATTAAGTTAACACTGTATATGATATGCAAGAAATTAACAGGTTGGGCAAGTGCTGAAACAATAATAAAATTACAGAAAGACCGTGGTAGTATTGTTCACAATATTATTAATTGTAAAGGACTAATTTATCATTTGAAGACATATCAAGTCCACATTGAAGCCAATTTTGAATAATGAATATAATAAGGTATCCAAAATAAAACACTTATATAATGAAACAGTACATCTTGAATAATATATTCCAATATCTTCATTGTTAATGTACCAAGAAGCAGAAAAATTATAATGCAAAGCTGTTTCAAAGCAAGAAGGATCTATAATATCTTATTATGTTACATATATCTAATAGTTACAATTCACAGTAAACATTAAAATAATTAATAAATCTTAAGATAGTTTAAAAGACTGGTAAACAGCTAACAATCCATATGTATTGAACCATGTACATAAAAAACATTTACAGAAGATCAATATGTAAATATTTCAAACTACATTACCATCAGGGAAAAGAACTTACCTGCAGTAAACAGAGTTTGGCAACTTAAATAACTCATGTTAATTGGGATAAAGGTTAACAATAAAACAATGTATCAGAAAAAATTAAGTCTGCTATTGACATTTACAATCACTCCAAAGATCTTGATAGAATTATTCAACATATTATGCTATTTGTATTATAGACTATGATTTATGAAACTGATCAATGTGTTTTATTATGAAGAGTAAGTTTCTTGGCTGTTTTGAATATAGAAATTACCTACATCAAATTCTAATCATATTTGACTGAAAGTTTATGTTTCATCAGTTTCCAAAAGCATATACTACAACACAGTAACATAAAACAGATGAAACAATATCCTTTCCAATCTGTTACCAATTTGTAACTGATAACCATTGTAACAATGATCATCAATACAATCCTCCCAGAAAAACTGCTGAAGTCCAGTCATTTCATTATTATATTATTTTCTTGGCATGTATACACAACTATATAATTAGCTTGAGCGCTAACATCATGCGGCAGTGGGATAACAGTGTTTGTAACTTCAGTATAGTATTGATGTTCTAAACCAATGTCAACTTCCAGTCATTCAACAAGAAACAAGCTGAATACAGAAATTTCTCTAATTTTTGTGTATGTGACAGATTTATCTCATAAAAAGCAAGTTTAAATTTAAAACTCTTGTTTCACAGGATACTGTTTATTATGTGGAACATTAACATTGACCGTACCTTTGTCTTATTACATCACTACTGGAAAATCTACTAACAGCTGTACTGTTTTCATATACCGAATTTAATGAAGGCACTGCTAATCACAAAATTTAATATAATACATTTTCAAGTATAAATACTCAATTTTTTGTTTGAAAAATTATTAGAAATATACTACATTATATTACATTCCGATAAGCATAATCTTTCCGAAAGGAATATGAAAGACGAGGAATATGGTAAATGTAGACAGTTTATACTACAAACTCAGATGACTGAAGTTCAGGTCAGAGGACTCTACTTGCTTTGGCTAAAGTGCTAGGGTAAATACGCATAAATTCTAACATGTTCTGTATCTAGAAAGGCTTGCATTAAAACTCCAATCAGGGTTCTGAAACTTCAGTTTTGTCTTGATGAGCATTCCAATTAATAGCCTTTCTACTGACTGACAGACTGAGAAATCTGGGCGAGTTCAACAATGGACGAAAAATAAATTTGTTATTCATAATCACTGACAGTAGCTCAAACTACAAGTGCATCAACCAATGTGTCACAAGTGACATCAAATTGCTAGTGTTGCGCTCTTAACGAGCATGGGCCTTGCAGAAAGGGCGTCCTCCTTTGGCATAGAAGCTCTGGCCTTCTAAGTTCTTCTTGCAATTCTGCATAAAAAACACACATGGTTACCAAACTTAAAACATACATATTTGTGTGACAATTTGTAAACTAGAGAAAAATGACGCGATTGCTTATTAAATTTCAATTTTAAGAAATTAAAGAAAAGGGAGTCAGATTAATATTATATTGTTTTAGATTTGGTTAACTTTGCATTTCACTCTGAAATGGCAAACGCAAATTTGTATTAACCTGATTCATTACGGTTATGAAGGTGGATTAACGAATTTACCTGTTTACAGATAGAGGAAGAATGAGAAACGTGTGTGATTTCTTTCACTGCCATAAAATGTCAAAACTTACTCTCTGTGCCATTTGAACAGTCAAAATAAGTTGAAGCAATAAAGGGTAAGTTTATTTGGTGTAGGCTTAGGCAACTCTATATATACTATCAAAATACTGGCTGTATCTTCCTGAAATAAGTATTGAAGGCATACACCCTCATTTGAATTCTCTGCCAGCTATAAATATAAACAATATTTTACAGCTGGGGTTCACAACCATTTTGAGACTTGGGGCCACATTTGCCCATTCTTATTGACTCACAGGCCACAAAGTTATAGCAGAAGATATGGTTTATTTACCATTCAGCCACCTGACGTGGCTTGTAACCCGAGAGTCTTTCATCAACTTCAGTCGCCACAAAAGCTTCACTTTATACTCTGATAGTGTTGTTGTTTGAAAATTTTATGATTTCATACAAATGGGCCAACTAACTGCAAAAGGGTCAGGAATTGATCAGGTAAAATTAGAAATGCCAAAATATGGAGGAAATTTTGTTTCTTAGAATTGTTAAACACATGTTTGAAATGCCATAAAATACCCAACAGCTGGATGGAAGTCCAATTATATCTATATAGAAGTAAAAAGGTGAAAATTGTTGCAAGAATTATAGGGGTATAATCATACTGAATACAAGCTGTAAAATATATACAATATTAATGAACTTTAAACTAATTATAGAAACAAAAATACTACAGATTTATACAGAGGCACAAATTAATTTAAGAAAGGTTACCAGCGTCTGTTCATATTATCAAAGATGAGAAAGGTTACTTGCTCGCAGATCCCCACAGGGTATTGAAAATGTGGAAAAATTTCTTTAACCAGGTGTTCAATGTTCATGCGGTTCAAGACATGCAGATAGATATACATGCGACTGAGCCATTAGTGGCAGAAACTAGCCTTGTTGAAGCAGAGACTACTATTGAGAAGTTAAAAAAGAATAAATCCCTGGGTACTGATCACATTCCAGTAAAATATATCAAAGCAGGAGGCAAAACGTTGCATTCTGAGATATACAAACTTATTTCCCCTGTATGGAGCAAGGAGGAAATGCTACAGAGTGGAAGGAATCTATTATTCTAACAATTCATTAATAGGGTGATAAGGCTGACTGTAATAATTATTCAGGAATCTTCCTCTTATCATCTGCCTACAAAATGTTATCCAACATTTTCCTGGAAACATTGTTCTGGTGAGGATGACGCCGTATGTCAATTAAGTAACTGAGGATCATCAGTGTGGGTTCCGTCATAACAGATCTACAACTTATTAAATTTTCTACATTCACCAGATATTAGAGAAAAAATGGGAGTATAATGGCACAGTACATCAATTATTTATTGACTTCAAGAAAGCCTATGACTCAGTTAAAAGAGAAGCTCTTTATAACATTTTTCTTGAATGTGGTTTACCTAAGAAGCTAGTCAGGCTAATTAAAATGTGTTTAAATGAAACCTATAGCAGAATTCAAGGACCTCTGTAACATTGGTAAACTTCTGCCAGACTACACAGCGCTACAACCCATAAGACAGCTATCTTCGTACTCACTGCTGCAAGAACCTCAAATTCTACTAACCAAATTGATGTTTTACAAAGTAATGGCATTTTGTACATTCTTGTATGATAGTGAAGCCTGGAGGCTACAGAAACAAAATCTAAATGCAATACAAGAAACTGAAGTGACATGTCTTAAAAAAATTAAAGAAATCTGGAATGAATTTCAAACATTATCACTTATAGAACAATATCAGTTTACAGGAAATGACAGGCTAAACATCTGGATACAATACAAAAGAATTATGAAACAATCTCTTCCATACAAACAAAGTGGATGATGAGATCTTGGGTGACCAAACAAATTATAGACAGTCTGAATCTAAAAAGGCCATAAGCCTAATCCTTTAAGTGGAAATAAAGACCAACAAAATACCATCAGAAACAAATCTGAGAATTCTTTGATTTCAGTGCATGATAGATGTTAACTAATCCTCTTCCAATGTTGTAATATCAATATATTTTAAAAGTATTCTGAACAAGTAAAAGACATTAAAAATGGTAAAAGATTAACTGCCACATTGATGACAACATTTTCTCTCTCATCAAGAATTTTACGTTTCATGAATATAGCACTTCTTTCTAGAAAGGCTGGAAATTATCTGTAATCACAAGTAACACTGAAGGGGTTTATAAGTTTCTGGGTGACAAATATAAACCTTCTAAAAATTTAATTTAAAAAACATAAGCAACATAAATTTAACATACCTCTAGATAAATTTCATAAGAGTCTGATGTTTTGTATCTTTATAAAGAGGTGCTTGTACGATGTACCACTATACACCACAAAACAAATACTCCAGTCTTACGTATTTATATCTGCCATGCCTTTCAAACACTGATGGTATTAAAACCTAACTTCAATATGTTAAATTTTTCTGACATAAGTCTGTCACCAGAACGTTGCATCCAATCATACTGACGGATGATCCCATTTTATTGTGGTTTGCAGATATTGCATTTTTTACAAATTGAAGGTTTTTGGCAGCAACCCTGCATCGAGCAACTCTATCAGCACCATTTTTCCAACAGCATGTGCTCACTTCGTGTCTCTGTGTCACATTTTGGTAATTCTCGCAATATTTCAAACTGTTTCATTATTATTATATCTGTTATTTCACTATTATTGTATGTATTATCAGTGTTTGCCTGTTATTGGCTTCTTGCTGTTGGCAAACACGTAAATAAATTAATTGAATTGAGTTAATAGACTACAGTATAGTGTAAACATAACTTTTATATGCACTGGGAAACCAAAAAAATTGTGTGACTTGCTTTATTGAGATTTTCGCTTTATTGCGGTGGTCTGGAACCGAACCCGCAATGTCTCCGAGGTATGCCTGTAATTAAAAATCTTCAATGTCACAGGATTAATGAGGATATATGTACAGGTAAGATATGGTCCATGGGATGAACAGAATACAAGTGACCTTTCCTAGGATATGCAGCAGCAAAGACTTGATATGTTATGATTAACATGACAGGTACACTTACAGTGTGCAACTACTACTTGTCTATAAAATATTAAAATGGTGAAGTATCTGCTTCTGTATATCAGTATATATATTTTTATGTTTTGACACAGATGGCAAGTTATACAGAGAAGAGCGACGAAACATTTCAGATTAAAATTTATGTTTTTTATAGACACAAGTGTAGATATTTGACACACAGAACTTTTAAGCTCAACGGTCATCATTAGTGACATTAATTATGAACAATTAATGCAATTATATGTTTGTGTGTTGTTGGCTAAACAAATTATCTCTTTGGATGCTGTGGACAACAATAAACAAATCAGAAACTTACGGTACAGTTGAAGCACTGGCTATGATAATTGTTGCTGAGAGCTTCTACCCAGCGATCGCCAGCCTCAATAGGGAAACCACAAGCAAAGCATTTAGTGGTGAAAAGCTCATTCCAATCTAAAAAGAGAAAAGAAAATATTGAGGACAATAATGTGCAAATTCACCCATGAAGATATCATTTACATTTCATTCATGTATTAATGAAGCATTATTGTTCTCTTGGTACATGTGTTGTAAGTTGAGTGGATATCCATTCAACACATGGGCAGTCACAACTGTAAAGTACTTTCACTTAATAAGTAATGTTGTTGTTGTCGTCATCATTTCAAACTAATTATTCTCTAAAAATTGGTAAGCTTTCCACAATACTGTATATTTATCTATCTGTGGCACAACGACCCAAGCCGAGCCTTGGCCTCCTCCCATGAGGGAGGTTTCATAGTCTTTGAAGTGTGCGAGTGACAAGCCCACTGCCTCTGCACAATTTCTACTCAATCCTGATTTGACTGCCAGAGCCATCTAGTAGTGAATGAGGAAAGAGATGGGTAAGAAATGGCTGCTGAATTTTGCTTACAAAACACCTCATTTCATGCTTGTAAGTTTCTTTTACATGCCGTAAATCTACAATATGGGACCACCGGCTTTACTTCCCCTCCGAGGGCGACACAAATACTGTCTAACAGAGTAAATATCTGTGCAGTACGCAGCCTAAAAAGTGACATGCTGCATTACTCTCATACCAAGAAATGTCATGCTTGTTCTGATTTGATGTAAACTTTATAACAATAGAACTATTATAAAATAATAACAAAACAAATAAACAAATGATACTGTAAACAGCAGAGCAGTGTGAAACAAACACATGTGAGAAATATCTCCATACTTGTTTTCAATCATATGTGAAATTATTGTGTTTTGGCTGTAGAAATAGCATGTGCAGTTTAGGGTATGTGTCTACAAATGCTATTGTTTTATAGTTCCTTTGGTTCACAAAGGTCGATATAGTGCACGTGTTTAGTCAGTGCATGAAAATGTCACTGATTTTGTCCAAATTAAAAAGAAAGAAAAATGTTTCCAGTTACATTCATGCACACCAAGCACTTAAAAGTATACTCATTATAACATTATATTTATCATAACTTGAGAAGATATCCAATGGCCAGTTATACAGTAATTTATGACAGTATAAAGTCAAAAGAAATGAAACCCAATTGGACAGTGTTTACATAATTTATGCCCGTTATCTTACATCTACTAAAATAAATAAATGATTAAAAGTACTTTACTTACCTGTTTCACAATATGGCAGACCATCTTCCAAGAAGAATGGGTTGTTTCCGAACAGCTTGCCACAGTAAGCACACAAGAAGCATTCGGGATGGAAATGCTTGCCAATTGCATTCAAGCAATCCTGCAAAAATAATTCATAATATATTTTGAAACCAACCGTAGGTAAATGAAATATAATTTTGATTTTATAACTACTCCCATCAACCCATCATACTGTTTCAATCTGATATTCTCAACTTGTGGCCTCCTAGTATGGAAGGTCACTGGGTTCCTGTTGACAGGAACCCAGTATGGCTAATCATAACTAAAATAATAAGAAAGTTCATTAATTACTTATCATATATACAAACATTGTATCTGTTATCATGCCAGCTAGAGTTTAACTCCAGGTTTAGCAGTATCTGAATGTGATACATGGCAAGGTGGACTTTTCTTATGCAGCAAGATGTAGTCAGTAAGGGTAACTGAATAACAATTACTTATTTTATCAGTTTTAACTGTTGGATGTGTTATAACAGGATGACTAATGTCAATTTTTAACCACACCCATATTTACACTGTAGAGTAGTGGTCCCAAACGCAGTGCCTGTGGGCGCCATGGCTTTTTTTGGGTGCCCGCGTTGTTACGGAAAGAGGTTATACTGAATAATGAAGGCCGTTCAACCATGAACATCATAAAATCAAAGCACAGATCTTGACTCACTGACGCCCATCTTGACGATTGTTTGCGAGCAGCAACATCATTCTACACTCCCAAATTTGAAAAACTGGCTGATGAAATGCAGCGCCAAACATCACACTAACTTCCCACTAGAGTAATAATAATTGTACTTACAAAACTACGTATTTTTGATTGCGTGGTTTCTTGTATCATTAAACGTCATGTTGTTTTGTGTATTATTTGGTGTCCATATCTTATTTGTCCAGAGAAAAGAAAATTTGGCTTTGTTAATTGGTTGGTGCCCGCCACGATCTCATAAACTCTCAAATGTGCCCATAGGCACAAAAAGGTTGGGGACCACTGCTGTAGAGTCTATAGTAGCTTACTTGGTAGTTATTTATGTTTTCTGTGTGTAAGTACAACAGTCAGGATTTATTATAAAGAATGTTTATTTCTTTTCATTATTTCATATAAAAATGTGGGCTATTAAGTTCCAAACTTGTATCTATTCATCATTCTGTGTTTATATTCAACAATTTGTCAGAAAAAGTAAATAGAAAACAAAAGTGCTTCTTTATTTGTGCACACAAAAAAATCTTGAATTTGTGTCCAATTATCTGTGACCATTAAAATAAGGAAAAACTGACAATGTAACAAAAAAGTCATTATTAACTTACTCCTTTAACTTTGGTGCTACACTTGTCACATGATGGGGCCAAGTACTTCTCAAAGCAGTATTCACAGTATAATTCTCCTTTCTCCTCCACAAAGCCAATGTCTGCCAGCGGGCGATGACACTGGGCGTTTACGCACACAAAATGGTCTGGGCACCAGTTCTTACCCAGTGCAGTAATGAATGGGCCCCTGTAAGAAGTTCAGTTACTTTATTATGGATCAACTTACTGTACTCAAAATGACTGTATACTCTTTTATCATTTTTCTGTGGAAGATGTAGGAGATTGTTCAATTTTAGAACCAAGAAATTTGTTTAATTGCCTGAAAAGAAACATTAAAATAATTTGTGCAACAGATCCTTTAATGTCTCCCTTTTTAATGTTATTTTACATTAGAGTTTAATTATATTGGTCAGTTGAGGCCCAAAACTATAGTATCTAGTCAACTATTAAAACTGAGTTACATTTGCTACGGTTTTTTAGTAATTTAAAATCTTGTGACCAGTCATGTCAATTTGGTGCAGAAGAGCATTATCAGATCATTCTGTGAGGATGGAGGTAGAGAAAGTATCTGAAACAATGGTCTTCTGCTCTGAATTGACATGGCTGCTCACCTGAGTAGTTCTATTAATAGTAGTTACCAGAAAAGCCACACATTTTATAAGAATCTAAATACTTTACCTTCTTAATTTGCCATCTTGATATCACAGCAGTATAACAACAAAGTTTCTTATGTATTTCTCAGATTGTAGTAAAACACAGAATTACCAATATCTGTGTTAAAATATTCCGAACACGGTGTAAAATTAGAGTACATGTGAAAGAAAATAACAACCCTCGAAAGCCTTGCAGTTATTATATCCACCACCTGATTTAACAATCAGTAACTTTGCATTTAGCCCATGTAGTGTTTTTTTAAATTTATTTTCCTAAAGAGCATTAACCAATTCATCTTTGTAATGGAAAAGCATTATTTTCTTTGCAGCAGAAATCTAATCTTTTGATTGGTATCCGATCTCATAAACTCTCAAATGTGCCCATAGGCACAAAAAGGTTGGGGACCACTGCTGTAGAGTCTATAGTAGCTTACTTGGTAGTTATTTATGTTTTCTGTGTGTAAGTACAACAGTCAGGATTTATTATAAAGAATGTTTATTTCTTTTCATTATTTCATATAAAAATGTGGGCTATTAAGTTCCAAACTTGTATCTATTCATCATTCTGTGTTTATATTCAACAATTTGTCAGAAAAAGTAAATAGAAAACAAAAGTGCTTCTTTATTTGTGCACACAAAAAAATCTTGAATTTGTGTCCAATTATCTGTGACCATTAAAATAAGGAAAAACTGACAATGTAACAAAAAAGTCATTATTAACTTACTCCTTTAACTTTGGTGCTACACTTGTCACATGATGGGGCCAAGTACTTCTCAAAGCAGTATTCACAGTATAATTCTCCTTTCTCCTCCACAAAGCCAATGTCTGCCAGCGGGCGATGACACTGGGCGTTTACGCACACAAAATGGTCTGGGCACCAGTTCTTACCCAGTGCAGTAATGAATGGGCCCCTGTAAGAAGTTCAGTTACTTTATTATGGATCAACTTACTGTACTCAAAATGACTGTATACTCTTTTATCATTTTTCTGTGGAAGATGTAGGAGATTGTTCAATTTTAGAACCAAGAAATTTGTTTAATTGCCTGAAAAGAAACATTAAAATAATTTGTGCAACAGATCCTTTAATGTCTCCCTTTTTAATGTTATTTTACATTAGAGTTTAATTATATTGGTCAGTTGAGGCCCAAAACTATAGTATCTAGTCAACTATTAAAACTGAGTTACATTTGCTACGGTTTTTTAGTAATTTAAAATCTTGTGACCAGTCATGTCAATTTGGTGCAGAAGAGCATTATCAGATCATTCTGTGAGGATGGAGGTAGAGAAAGTATCTGAAACAATGGTCTTCTGCTCTGAATTGACATGGCTGCTCACCTGAGTAGTTCTATTAATAGTAGTTACCAGAAAAGCCACACATTTTATAAGAATCTAAATACTTTACCTTCTTAATTTGCCATCTTGATATCACAGCAGTATAACAACAAAGTTTCTTATGTATTTCTCAGATTGTAGTAAAACACAGAATTACCAATATCTGTGTTAAAATATTCCGAACACGGTGTAAAATTAGAGTACATGTGAAAGAAAATAACAACCCTCGAAAGCCTTGCAGTTATTATATCCACCACCTGATTTAACAATCAGTAACTTTGCATTTAGCCCATGTAGTGTTTTTTTAAATTTATTTTCCTAAAGAGCATTAACCAATTCATCTTTGTAATGGAAAAGCATTATTTTCTTTGCAGCAGAAATCTAATCTTTTGATTGGTATCTTCTGGGATGATGCACCATGTAGTCTGGTAGATGTATACCGACGTTTCAGAGGTCCTTGCTGCCTCCATCATCAGGGCAAGGACCTCTGAAACGTTGGCAAACATCTACCAGACTACACGGCACAACAACCCAGAAGACAGCAATCTTCAGACTCACCGTCATGAAAACCTCAAATCCTACATATTTAATCTTTACATATTATATATTTGAGTTTCGGCTTGAAAGGGTTTATTACCAGAATAACCAATATACTGATGGAAGGAGAACAAGTGTAATTTAATTAACAAAACTTAAATTTTTCAATGAATAAAAAGTACTACAAAATAAGATTAAAACAAAATAAAATTAAATAAACCCCAATTCCACAAAGTAAAGCCATTCTTCAGAAGGTAATAGTCACTTTGTTGCTTGCACATTCCCATCCTTTTACAGAACCTTCAGATTGGATCTGAGGTTCTCATGGCGGCAAATATGAAGTTGGGTGTGGAGCACATACCTCTGAAGAGCCAATAAACTTCTACCATTCTACATGGTGCTACAAGACGAAGACATCTATCTTTGAACCTCAGGATCATTATCTCACACACAAGAAGACCCTATCCTGAGCCAGATGAATCCAGTTCATATCCCCATACCCAGTTGCTTAAACTCAATCACTGTATCTACACCTAGATCCCCCAAATTCTCTCTTTGTTTCAGGTCTACTAACCAAAATTCTGTATGCATTTCTCATAAAACAGTAATTTCTAAATTAAGAAGGCAAAACTGGGAAAACTACTTTAATATGTAACCCCTGGTGGATGGCTAAAACACTTATGTGATTAAATAGAAATTAGAATTCTTATTGTTACTGTGACAATATTTAATTCATTTTATATCTTAATCTCAAGCTCCACACGATAAACCAATTTACCTTCTTATCTGTTTGTCGCACTTGACGCACATGGGAAAAACATCATTCTCAATTGATTCTCTGATTGTCTGCACTAAAGCTTCTGTTAACATTCAACACATAAGAACAAGTTAAAACACAACACTCAGTCATCATGCTGCTTCACAATGCATTAGTAGAACTCACAATACAAACATCTGTGTCTAGATAAAAACCACTGACGAATCGGTACACTTCTACCAAACTACGCAATGCAACAACCCACAAGACATTGTCTTCATACTGCACTAGATGGACATGTTATGTCTAAAGGAGATGCCAAGGTAACCAATGTTTCAAAATTGTACAAATCAACACAACTGTTACTCAGCAAAAAATAAAATTGTTATGTCCATGCTGACTGATGACTCACAGAATAAAACAAGATTAAAAAGTTGCAACCCATGTCACAAAATGTAGTTACAATGTGTCGAACACCTTGGACATTATAAATTCTCCTAGATGTTCTGAATAACTCTCATTACTATATATATGTAAATGTATGTTTTTATATGAATTTTCTTTCTGCTCTACTGTTTAGTTTGTTTATCAGAAATGTTGTGCAAACAGACAGTGTTTCTTTACTTTATGTTTATACATCACAAACTACTCAGTACATCCAAAATATATATCAACATTTCTTGTAAATTATTAATTTTAGACACAAATTATTCATAAAACAATATTTGTTATCTAAATTGGACGAAAACATTTCAAAAATGTAATCATCTCATGCTCTAGTATGCTGGACTCGTGTACAAATGATCAAAAAGTAGAATACTGGTCAAGTTAAATTTTTCATGACTTGAAATTTGAAATATGTTCCAAATATTGTCTACATTACATGTGTTACACATAAACTAAAAAATCTACGTTTGCCACGTTCTTAATTCTTACCTTACAAGAAATATTTCACAGTTTATTAAAGGTATTATTCTGATCTATCTTCATACCAAATTCCAAATGCCTATATCTAGTAGTTAATTACCTATTACCATCAAATTATAATCAAAATATGTATAAGTTTATGCAACTGCCATGTTGTTCTAAAGTCTGCAAAATGATACATCCACAAAAGTTCAATTTTTTTTAAATATATCACCATACACAATTTCAGGATCCTATATTAAGAGACACTAGTTCTTCTCCCACGGCACAAAACTGCACCTATCATGCTGTTACTACAAAATGTAGGAAATTAAAATGAATGAAATTCAGATGACCTCTGCAATGGCAAAACGTTCATACCAAAATTTAATCAAAATCCCTTCAGCACTTAAGTCAGAAAATTTAGGCATATTCACATATACATATTTGCAGACATGTGTTCATACATACATATATATATAAAGAAAGGATCACATACCAACACTGTAACCATTCAGTATTAGGACTGATGTTTTAAGAAAAAAATTGAAATATCTTTGATTCTTCTTGTTATGTAAAACACAGTTAAAAAACTATTCTTTATCACTGAACTAAAGTACACTTGCAGCTTACATGCTGCACTGTCTGCAGTTAATAATGATGCATTCCACACCAAATGAGAAATTTCATGCAGCGTCAAAGCAGGCAATAAGCAAAGCTATGAAAATAAAAGTAAAATTACCTCAACCAAATCATTGCATTTATAAACAGAGTAATTACATCAGTGGTGTAGACAAAGACAAGACAAGGTATCACCAAGCAAAAACATTATGTCAAATTATGTAAAATTAGAGCATTACATTTGACAACATAATCTAACCAAGAAGATTAAAAAAAGGGAGATCTTAACAAAAACCAGAGTGGCAGGATCGATTTACATTCTTAAACGTAAGTGAAACTATACTTTCAAACTGAAATATCATATCACTCATGTGAAATATTTAAGTTACAGAATAGTATATACCTAATTCAATTTCTAAATGCCACACTTCTGTAATTATCAAAAATCTAATTTTCTTTCAATCTAACATAATATCAAATGTTAAGTGTGAGTTACTCATTTATCACTGTTCGTGTTTTTTTACTGAAAGAATGTCTCTTTCAAACAGACAAAAGACATACAATTATAATACATGTACAAGCAGTTATCATTTTAATATCTTTGTGCCATGTAGTATATTAATAAATATATTTTCCTAGTAATTACAAAGTATTTTTCTTGAAAAAACATTTGTATTTTGATGTACAACAGACCCTCCATGTTCATGGGTTTGACCACTGCAGACTGCTTATTCACAGAAAAATAATTTAATTATTACTGTGGTAATATTTGTGCATCACAGCATAAGCCCAATGCTCTTTTATGGTCACTCTTGTGTGGGCGAGTGGTATGGAGTAATATACAACAGCCCGCATCTGCCCACCTTTCTCAGTAGCAACACAGATATCACGCAACACAGAGTGTAATTTGACTGTACCTTTCTCAGTTTTTGGAACTGATCATTGGCCATGTGTTCAATAATCCTGACAACTTTCGGCCAGCAATGCCAACATCATCTCAATAAACACCAACATCAATGTTCTCATGTTTATTTAACATTAATTATACATGTAAAGTATCATGTTTCACATATATTATGTTCCCCTAACATTTCCCCCATGAGGTTTGACTTTCATGCACCATGAATTTGTTGTTCGTCGTGATTTTCAAGAACATAATCCCTGTAAACAACGAGGGTGTGCTGTATTTCCTTACACTGTAATTATAGTCAGAACAGTACTGGAAAATTCTTTTATAAGGATTCATGTAACATCTAGGTAACAACAAGCCACGAAAACTGAAAATACATATACAAAGAAAGAATTTTATTACAGGAAATTTCACCCATTATATAATAATAATCCGTGGCGTAACAGCCCTCTGAGAGCCAAAGTCGACTAGCTGGCTGCTAGCCTCACGTTCACATGCCTAAGCAGAGGTGAATGATCATCCAACCACATATAGGGTGACGTGTGGTCAGCACGACAAACCCCCAGCCATTGCTAGTTTTCATGACCGGATTACGCTACCCATTGTAGATCCCCAATTTCCTCACGATGCTGGGTTGGGACCGGTCCCATACACGGTCGAAAATATCATGAGAAATTTCTTTCCCGGAGACTCGAACCAGCGCGCATTCCGTATCACCGGTCCGAAGCATGATGCCTCAGGCTGCGCGGGACTCACCCATTATATATGATCACTAATACTGAAATATAATTGTACTTCTACACTTGAACATGTAATACTTCTGTTCACAATAATTTGACAACAAACCCAATGTGACATGCAGCAATCATGGTCACAACACAAACAGGCAACATTGCTTTCCAACTGAAATACCTGATCTGTGAACTGCAGCGGGCACATAAGGCTATCCTGACCCCAACTGAACTCTGTTGTGTCAGCACTCCCCTTCCCCTACGAGGGGCTGATGAACCAGCAAAGCTCGCACCCTTCTGGGTCCCACCGAGAGCACCGATACCGCCACCACCTGCATTTGGGACTGATGAAGAACTTGGAGCTGAAGGGGTTTTAGCTACAGAAATTGGCTGAGTGGCCGAAACAGGGACAGCTTTGGGAATTATAGGCTCTGGGGCACTGACAGAAGGTTCAGACCATGGTGGTGCAAGGGGGGATGACTTAACAAGAGCTGTTGACTGAGGGGCTGCAAGAGGAGAAGTTTTAAAGATAGGGCCTGGTGGTTCAAGCTGTGGGGCTGACAGAGAGGAAGGGCCCAATTGTTGTTGCTGTGCAGAAGGGAATGGTTGGGCTGAAGAAAATGTGGTAGGTCTCAAAGATGTGCCCAGGGATTCTGTTTTATAGTATTCTGCAAGAGGGATGTTAGGGAAAGGTATGATAGGTTGCTGAGTTTGTGACTGAGGCAGTACACTTGCAGCAGGTACAGCAGGCTGGTAGGATGCATAAGGTTTCTGTGGAGGAGGCTGGCGTTGGAATGATGCTGATGGTTTTTGTGGAGTATACGAGACTTCAGTACTGGCCAGTTTAAGCTGAGGTGTTTGAGTCCGAGGTACAGTCATGGGACAGGTTGGGGTAGCAGATCGAGGTCTCTGTCCTGGAAATTCCCCCATCTGTTGCTGATAAACTGGAATTATGGTTGGTTTCTGTAAACCTGTTGTTGTATACTTTTGTTGCTGCAATGGGGTTCCACTTTGGCTACGAGAAGTAGGTGTTGAAACTCTCTGTATTGGAGTCTTTGGTCTGGAAGCTGGAGATACTGCAAATTCAGCCCTCAGGTCATCGGAAACTGGATGGAAAGGTAATTCCTTGCCAGACACTAATTCAGATGTAATGGGCTTAAACTCAGTTGTTGGTATAATAGGTCTAAAAGCCCCAATCACGGGCAATGGTCCAGATGAAACAGGTCGTTTTGGAGTAATTTTTGTAGATACAGGTTCAGGTCTAGTGGTTCCTGAAATTTTGTAAGGGGGTGCAGAAAGAAGGGGTTGTTGTGTTTCGTCTCTCAGTGGTTGTTCAGCGGCAGGTATTGATGGTGTCTGTACTGGTAAAATGCCTGAAGGACATGCTGCAGTGGGGAGAGGGGAATATGGTCGTTCAGGGGCAATAGTAAGTGCTGATATCAAAGGTGAAGGGCAAGCAGCTTCACGATTCAATGCAGCCTGTGTGCTGGTTGGCAATGAGGCTGGTTTTATAACAGATGGGTAAGCAGCACCTCGAGCCAATGGAGCTTGTACACCAAATGGAAATGCAGCAGGGGATACGGGTTTTACAGTCTGTGTACTGACTGGTACTGATTGTAGTGGAACATATACCATGGCTTTGGTAACAGATGGTAATGGAGAATAGGGATGATCTGGGGCCACTGTAAGTGCCGACAACAGGGGTGAAGGACATGCAGCTTCATGATTTAGCAGAGCCTGAGCAATGACTGGCTGAAGTGCTGGAGCCACAGGTTTGGTATCAGATGGAATGCTCACAGGGGCAGAATGAACTTCAATGGGTACAACAGCTTCAGTAGCAGACTTTAAGGCTGGGGTAGGAATAGTTGAAAGTGCTGATAGCACAGGTGATGTTTTGGCAGTTTCATGATCTTGTGCTGAGGAAGGAAATGTTTGACTGGTAGGCCGAGTATCTGCAAAGGTTTGAAGCGGAAGAACGGATTCTGATACGACAGAAGACTGCTGCGATGAAATTTGACGTGTCTGCTGTTGAAACTGTGATGCAGAATATTCTTGCTCCCTTGACACAGGGACAAATCCGCTAACAGATTGTGAAGAAACAGTCTGTGACTGAGCGAATACTTTTTGTTCTGATTTTGAAATAATCTCAGACTTCGGAGGAACTGTTGAAGTCGGAAAAGGAGAGTATGGTCTTTCTGAATCAGATGTTAATGTCGACACAAACTGTGACTGTGTTTCTACAGTAACTTCACTGGATGATTTTAACTTTGAAACCTCTACCAGATTCTGCTGAGATAAAAATGACTGTTCAGTAATGTTAACAGACTGTGACTGAGATGTAGATGAAACCTGTTCTGCTTCAATGCTTGTAATTCTGATTGGCCCAGCTCCCTCAGCAAGAGAACCAGATCTACTTTTTGAAGGGACAGAGGGTTTCCTTTCAGCTGGAGGAGGGACTGATTCAGTCACAGGATTGGGTGCCTTAGGTACTGCAGTTTCATTAGCAACTGTCTTAACTTGCTCATCTAGTTCAAAAGTAGAATTAACCTGCTTCGAGGTTTCTTGTTCTGTGAGTAAACATGCGTCTTGAATAGTGTTAGTTTTACTGCCTTCCATTGGAACTGGAGATTCAGGACGCTGCACTGCGTCAGGAGTCAGAGATGACACCAACATCTGGGTTTCAAGAGTTTCTGACAGTGTCTGGTACTTGGGCGCAGGTTTATCTGCATTAATTGCAAATACTTCTTGAGAACATAAAGAGAACTTCTTATGAAGTCCTGCATTTTGGACAGCTGTCAAGTCCTCAGCCTGGGAGACTTCAGTTGAAATGGCATTTGCTTCAAGATTGAGAGGATGTTCATCAAGTGGTTGTGAGTGTCCTTGCTGCAGGGGTGTTGGACTCAAAACTGCTCTTAGAGGAGTTTGATGTTTGGCCAGATAGACAGAAAAAGGTTGCGGGAAAGGAGCAGTTTTCTGGGTAGGTGCATTCTGAATTGC